TTTCACTGGAGATTTCAATTTTTTTTACTGTTAATATGGGAGTCGGCGCACTAATTCCACCAAATTTTTCTACTTTTTTTTATATTAAAAAAGACAGGAGTCGTCCAACTAAATACGGGAGTCATTGCCATATAGCGTCCCTAGAGACTCAAAAAAAAAAGTTGAGCCACTGGGGCCCCGCCCCAAAGGCACTATCAATGATAAAAAATTAGATTCATTGAAAAAAATGATTGCAAGAGATAAATGAAATGATAAACGGGCCAAAAACATTCAAAATTGATCAGAAATGTAAGAAAAAAAGTGTAAAAAAGGAAATAGAGGAAAAAAGTAAAAAACTAAAAAAGACACAGGAAAAAAAAACCCTAGTAGTGGGTCATTGGATTTTCAATTTTCCTCTCTACACTGACAGTCAATTGGAAACAATCAGAAAATTTGGCTTCCCATCCCCAAGCCTCTTCTGAGGCCTTTTCTTTCCAATCCTTCATGAGCTGAGGGGCAGCAAAGAGTCTTGGTTTATGTAACTGCAAGGGGAAAAAATGAGAAAAATTGGATAGAAAAGCAATAAGAATTGGAGTTTTATCATTGAACTTGAAGTTTGATTTGGGTGAGTGGATATGGGTCAGTTGTGGATATGCGGGTTAGGTTTGGAAACTCCTTCATGGGAGAAGAAACAATTTTTCTTCTCCCAAGCCGGCTCCTAGGGATTGGTCTGACAACTCCCGCAAGACAAAAAAAACAGCCAAGTCGTCACTTTGGAAAATTGGGCCATCAACTCCCGTTTTGTCAGGTGACTTTAGCCTGACAACTCACAATGGAAAAAAAAAAAAAAAAAAAAAAAAAAAAACCAGAAAAACCTGAAAAAAAATGAGAATTGGGAGCGACGACTCCCAAAAAAAATAAAAAAAAATGTATTTCAAAAGGGGCTTGGAAAAACGACTCCCAAATTTTAGTCGACGACTCCCGTTTCGGTCGGGAGGTTGTTGAACGGGAGTTGTTCTTCCAATTCCCGGGAGTCGTCGGCCTAATTCCACAGGCGATTTTTTATTTTTTTTTAATTGAAAATTTGGGAGTCGTCCACCTAAAAGGTGGGAGTCCGCGCCCCAAATTTGATCCTTAATTTTCTTGATTCTTTTTTTTTTCCTTGGGAGTTGTCAGGCTAATTTCCCCAGACGGAAAGGGAGTCAATGGCCCAATCGTCCAAACTGACAACTGGGCTTTTTTTTGTCTTGCAGGAGTTGTCGACAAATCCCTAGGAGTCGGTATGAATTGTACAATGAAATTGTTTGCCGGCCTGATTGGTATTGAAATGTGTTCCACAAACTCCACGGCGCTTTGGATTGTATCAAGGTTGATTTGCCATCACCTTGTTCAAAGCCTCATTGGATGTCCATGCCTTCAATGACAAATGCCTTTGACAGGCCTGTTTGCTTTTTTTCTGACACCTTTTGCCAGACTTTTCTTGCTTCTTTCTGCCCCCCCAATGACAACCCCCCTATTTTTATTGCTTTTCTACATGAATTTTCTCATTTTGTCCCCTTGCAGTTACATAACCCAAGACTGTTTGCTGCCCCTCAGCTCATGAAGGAGTGGAAAGAAAAGGCGTCAGAAGAGGCTTGGGGATGGGAAGCCCAATTTTCTGATTCTTTCAAATTGACTGTAGAGAGGAAAATAGAAAATCCAATGAAACACCACTAGGGTTTTTTTTATCCTGTGTCTGTTTGAGTTTTTGATTTTTTTCCTCTATGTCCTTTTTTACCCCTTTTTTTTCTTACTTTTCTGATCATTTTTGAATATTTTTGGCCCGTTTGTCATCTCTTTTATCTCTTGCAATGGTTTTTCTCAATCAATCTAATCTTTTTATCATTGATAAATTGCCTTTGGGGTGGGGCCTCAGTGGCTCAACCTTTTTTTGGAGTCTCTGAGGGTGCCATATGGTGACGACTCCCGTCTTTTTTTAATATAGAAAAAAAAAAGGCAAAACATTTGGCGGAATTTGTGCGACAACTCCCTTGTATTAGGTGGACGACTCCCGTCAATTTAAATATAAAAAAGGGAGAAATATTAGGCGGAATTGGTGCACCAACTCCCGCACTTTAGGCGGACGACTCCCTATTTTTTTAATAAAAAAATAAAAATTCTCCAGGTAAAATTAGTGCAACGACTCCCTATGTTTTTTTGGGAATTGGAAGAACGACTCCCGTTCGACGACCTCCCGACCGAAACGGGAGTCGTCGACTAAAATTTGGGAGTCGTTTTTCCAAGCCCCTATATATATAACTCTGGTGAAAACCAATCAATTATAAAAAGGTGACCTGTGGTTTAGCACCTTTAGTGTTACTGCCACTTGCAACTACTCTATCGCTTTGTTCTGCTTTCTTTGAGATACGATATGATGATGAGGATTGATTGTATGTGGCAACTAGAAATGGGAATACTTGCCAGAGGAGTTGGGAAGAGAGTGGCTTGTTGATCCCTCTCTATAACCAACAAGATCCTCTGGGTTGTGGACAAGGGTGCACGGACTGGTCCATGCTCTTCTAACCAGTTTGGCCCAGCATAACATCTGGATGGTCATGTTTGGTGGGGACTTGTCTGCGGCTCCATCACCTCAGATGTCTTGCAAAGAATGACTTGTAGAGACAGACAAAATGAAGATGTTGTAGAGACAGACAAAATGAAGATGTGTCTGGTGAGATTCAAACTCACGACCTCAGCAAAGCTGAGACACATACTAGAGTGCTGCCTTTACCAACTAGCACAGCTGGTGATTGGATGTCGCATACAGTCTGCTGCAACACCCGCAGTAAGGGGGGCCCCTTGCCGCGGGTGTTGCAGCAAACTGTGTGCGACATCCCTGTGACAGCTGTGTAGGCTACAGACGCTTGTGACTGCCAGGGTAGTTGAGTGGTAGTGCTCATGGGTCAAACCTAAGGGTGTGACCCGAACCAGTGACCCGAACCCATGCCCCGGGGCTTGAGCCCCGGGGTCCAGGGATCAGGATTGCTTTCTGAAATGCCCTGAACCCCGGGTCATTCTACCCATCCTTTGAGGAGATCAGAGTTGAGTGTAATATGAGGTAAGGATTTGTTGCTGAGGCTCAAGAGAGCCTTCATTTATACTCATGACTAAGGTACAAGGGAGTAGTCAATGAGTATTGATGTAAATACAAGTGTCAGGCCAGAAGGCCAATAAAGGAGAGAGAAATGACAAGGCCAAAGGGCCAGGTCCGAGAAAGGATAAGATACAAGCGGGGACAAAAGCGTCCGTTAAGAGATGCTAGAGTGTGAATACAAGAGAGAAAGGGGAGTCTTCCACTTCCAACGACTGTCCTGAGGGACGGACACTTCCTATTTTGGGAAGGACGGTTATGGGCTTTGGCAGGGACCCAGATCAGTTGTCGGAAGAGCTTGAACGATTTAATAATGTTTCTTTGAATTTGAGATCGTGTATGTACTAATGGGAAGGAATGCCGAATGGCCGCATCTATTTACATGATTGGTTGAGGAATGAGTGTTGGGGAACAAGAAAAAGCAATGGCAACGGAGAAGAAAGAGAAGTTGAGCCGAGTCTAGAATGCAAAGAGAAGAAAAATTACATTGGCCCATTGAAGGCCTCATACCAATCCTTGAGGCATAAGAGCTGCTTGATGCTACTTGCTTTTAAGGAAGATTGTTGCCAAGAAACTATGTGTTGGCCCTTAGAAAACACTCGCTCAGACAATGCGCTTGTTGCTGGAATGGCAAGGAAGTGTCGTGCCATCATCAATAACTTTGGGAATGTCCGTTGACGGGAAGCCCAATAGTCAAGGATCTTGATGCCTTTGGGTTCAGGATCCTCTTTCAAGTAGAGAGTGATTTCTGCTTGAATCCCATCCATCGACAAGGTGGTTTTGTATAGTGATGTAGCAAAGAAGCTTTTCTTCTTTGTTGCCGAAGTGGAAGGGGTAGCTTGGGTATTGGATGGTGTCTTCTGTAGCATTTTCTTTTCATAATCAATAGCAGTCATTAGGAAAGTTTCATCAATGTGATCAACAGAGAGGCCGTAATTATTTGACATAAATGTGGCATGTACTTTCCAAAAGGCAAGTTTGAAAGTCGGGTCTAAAATCATTGCACAGATATAGACTGGTTTTTCAAGAGCACTTCGGAAATATTGATCGATCTTATCTATCATCTGGCTGGCTGGAACAATCAGTTGGGATTGATCATGTAGACCGCTCCGAGTGTCATGAAGGTGTTTGAGAATGGTGATGTAGACTGGAAGAGCCGAGTTTAGAGTTGGATACTTTGAAGCACTGAGGATAGAGTTTGCCTCTGCAAGGGGCTCAAGAAGTTCCATGATGTGCTTTGCATGGTCCCATTCCGATGCGGATAATGTATACTTGGTGGTTTTGTGACTGTCTAGGCAAAAGTGGTGGCAGGACTTTTGAAGGAGAATCACTCGCTGGAACATCTTTGTTGGAATTTCATCTCTCTCTCTCCTCATCCCTAAAAATCCTGTTCTGTTTAGTCTTTTAATTAATAATGATTAAATATTAGAATTCAAATTATTATACAATTTTTGTTAGTTTCTGCGTGGTATCTTGTCCTGTTGTCTAGTGCTGCAATCCTTGTAGTCTTCGAACCCTGGTCTAGTCTTTAGCAATAGTCATTTGCTCCAGTCATCTATTCAAGAATTTGTTTATTTTTTGTTATTCATTATGATATTCATTTTTCTCTCAACCACATGTTTGACCTCTTGTATGTAGACTATTTAACGTGTAGTCTCCTCTAAGTAAAAAACACATTGGCTCTCTCATTCTTTTCCCAACCCTTAAGTCAGTCCAACAAAATTCATTTTTGTTGCCCCCAAAAATTTTCCTCTCAAAAATTCTCCACATCTTCGGTCAAAATTTCTTCAATCTTGGAGGTTGAATTCCAACGGGTTGAGACATTGATGTCAAGACTCTTGATACGTCTATCTTTGATTTCAGGTTGTGCAAAGTTTACAGCGTCCATGAATCATTCGCAACACTGAGGAGAGAATCGGACATATGTACACAATCCATGGACTCTCTTGAGGATTGAATTTGCATCAATGTTGGCGCCATTGGGTTCGGTAGTAACAAAACTGATTGCCATCTGGGGAGGGGGTGGAATGGTGGGGTGAGATGCTCCCATATCAACTGTTGAGATTTCTTGGTCACCACAATCTTCTTCATCCTCCATTGTTCCAAGGGCAGCAATACCAGCCTTGGAAGCAAGATTGATCACATGAGCGATACATCCAAGAAGACTTGTTGAAGTGTCAAACTCACGGATTTGAAGAGAGAGCTCCCGTGCCATTTTGTTATTTACGGAGGCATTGTTGGCAGTTATAGTGTTTACCTTGCCAAGACACCTGTAGCTCTCAAGAACATCGTAAAAGAGATTCACAAACATTTTGCCAGTGTGACTTCCTGGAAGCAGCAAGTCAAAACACACTCAATATCACCTTTAATAATGAAATGCAGGAACATTGAAAACTTACCTTGAATGTGAGGAACTGCTAAAGTCAAATCCCTCATGCAAAACTTTTCATCAATGAAATGAGAGGTTACCCCCATGAAGGCTGTGCAATTGGGTGCAGTCCAAGTGTCCTGAGTAAAACAGATTATTTCTTGTTTGGCCAGGTATTCAACTTTGATAGTTTCCTGAGATTGGAGGTACACTCTGGCAAGATGTGTAGCAATTCCGGATCTGCACATCTGCCTGACTAGTGGTGCCACATCCTTGTTGATGAGGTGAACCAGTTCGCGAGAAGATTTTTGTTCAATGAGGCAAAAGGAAAGGTTGCACTTGGCCAGAAAGTATACCAGTGCGTTCTTCAGGGATTCACTATTGAGTTGCACCTGATATTGGAGTTCTATAGATGAGGATTCAGGTTGCCAACAAGAAGCATAGAAAAATTGAGAATAACAAACAGAAACAGTGTACCTTTGGCTTGCATTCACCCTTCTTGGCCCACGTTCTAATGTCGATATGGCTCAATTTCTTTGTCTTCTTCAGGAGCTTTGGATCCGCCAGTTTGTGCATGTTGTAAAGGTGTCCGTGGAGATTTTTCATACTTTTGCTCTTGTCTCTCTTCATTGAAGCCCCACACAATTTCCCACCTCTTTGAACAACTTGACAGACAGCCAGGTTCTCCGCCTGAGGTCCGACTTCTTCTTTGAAGTGGAGCCACACCCAACTTCGCTTCAAGGATTGACTTTTGGTAGGATTTTCGGAATCACTATCATCCATGTCGACACAGTTTACTTCATCAGAGTCTATTTCGATTATATTTTGGTTTCCGGATGGTTGGGAGGATGTGGGCTTGGAAGCTTTTGAATTTGGAACAGGAGGGGAGGATTGTGCAGCCTTGCGCTTCATAGTGATGGCTGATCAAGAATTAGATAAGAACTAGTTAGTGGGTAGGAAGGCTCCACTCGCCTTGTGCAGCACAAGTCTGAAAAATGCCTCAGGACATCGGGGCATTGGGGCATACCCTGATGTATTCAGGGTCTGGGGTTCGGTTTGACCCTCACACCCCGGCCCAAACCCCGGGTCACATGGTAGTGCTCATGGGTCAAACCAACAGCTCCACCATACTGTGGTGATACATCATGGTAGCAGACTATCATACACCTCAACATGACTCTTAAAATTCATTTACCACTCACTCAGAGCATCCGCATCAGTTGTTAATTTAGCGTGGATTAAGGCACTTAGTCCAGCCTTGCAATCGCACTGGGTCCAGATTACAACAGGATCAACTTGACTCAGATCTCCATTTGGAGCTAGTAGGGTCTAAATCTAGACCTCACTAATCCTGGGAGCAAGTTCTCCATGCATATTCAAAATGCATGAAACTTTCCCATAGCTGCAAACTAGCTCCAATCAAGTCGGACAAACCAAATTTAAATTCATAAGCCATAGAGACTACAGAAAATCTTGAATCACATTCTGCAAATGCGCGGTAACATCACACCTCAAATTTTCAAAATGCAATTGAATTTGTAGTGCCAAAAACTTCAATCACATTTTGCAAATGCAAAGTGACATGTGATGTTACCGTGCATCCGCAGAATGCAATTCAACACTTTTTGTAGTGAGATCTAAGGCTTTGTTTGGCCGTCCATGATTGTGATAAACAATCATGGCAAATATTTTGGGGGTGGACAGCCAATGACAGGGCCTTACAATGGTGTTTGGGAGGCCATGTCATATCCACTCTCTTATGACGGAAATGGCCAACAAGATATATTCCCCCCCAAAAATTTTGTGTCATAAGTGCTGTTTCTGTGCTGGCATCACCTTCTGCTTTCCCTTACAACAACTCCATATCACCCCTTCTGACCAGCACAATGCCTGCCTGTCCTCCTAAACCACCGTTCTGATCATCCACTCCCGAAGTGCACCAATGCGGTTGAAGCCTACAGAACAGCTTAGTCTGGTCATTGACTAATCCGAGCTTGCTAGCCCGGTATAAGTTGTTTGCTGATGTGGATGCTCTCAGGCTATGCCTATCAGGGTGATGTTGTGAGTGACACACTTGTGATACAGGGCCTCACCTGTTACATCCTGGGGGCATTGGGGTGATCCAGGGCAAGCAAGGAGGCACTGGCACTGCAGTCAAGATTTGCTCAATCCGCCCCACTGTGTAGGGATTGAAAATTCAATTTCTCAGAATTTTTCTTCCTCGAATTTTCATATCCTTAATAGCAACCATTGCCAACTGCCATTTTGGCCTAAAAGTGAAGAATTTCAATACCAGATCCCTCCGGCCCTTGTTATTCGTTTTTGTACAGTAGAGAGAAAGAATGGCAAATTTTGAAAATTGAATCCCACAGTACTGCAGGCCCTTAAATGCTCCCATGAATGTCTCTGATCACCACGCCTAGCTGGCATAGCGGAAATCTCACTTCGCTTCAAGAGCCCACCGCGTTTCAAGTATCCCGGAATCACACTGAAGTACTAAGATCAAACCCCATTGTGATCGACTCCACCAAAAGCCCAGCCAAAAATGCCAAGCCAACTCAGTGTCGCCCGTCTGGGGCTCATGTGCACTCTCCTCCTGTCGCTGCTCGTCGCGGTCAAAGCCCCAACTGGACACAACAGAGTGTGTGCCATCTGCGCATTAGACTGTCATGATCTTCGGGCCAGGAATCTCAGGTGGAATGGCAACATGATACAAAAGCCTTGCGGAGAGCTTCATACGCCTGTGAACGGGTGCCCAAGCATAGTCCCTGTCAAGGTGTACTTCTGCGGTGAATGCGGATCAACCGACTGGGTACCCGATGGGAAGTGTAGGGGCCAACACAACGGTAGGGTCCCGCCTGAACGGATCTTCCTCAAGTCCGAACCAGTGCCTGGGGAACCGCCAGCTGTTGTGGCATCATCAGTGGGGTCAAACGTTGTGTGGTCATCAGCGGGGTCAAGCTCACCTTGAATCGTACAACACTAACGTCCCACCGCGGTGAATTTTTTTAAAGGCTCAGTTCTGTGAACATGTAATGCTTTGAATTGAACAAAACAAGACAAAAATTACATTGCTCCGCCCCATGACGTGGTTTGTCCGTGAGGAATGGTTCCACGCTGACCCAACTTTGCTCTGACAACTAAGGGTCGATAGGAAAGGTTGCAGTAGGGGGAAGTCAGGCCTTGGCAATCCCTCCATTGATGTGGGACCGGCCTGTCCTACAATTCATGTGAGGCTATCCTGTTAACTAGGTTTCAACCCATAAAAACTCAACAGAAACGGAAAAAGAAAAAATCATGCTACATCGATTCACCAGTACTGCCATTGGGGATATTTATCTCACCAGTGGTTTTATAGTTTTTTTCCAATCAAAAGTTATATTATCACATTCAGTATTGGAAACTGCAACTATCCAGGTATACTCCACGGAGATGAAAATTCAGAGAAGAAGGATTACGAAGAATTGCTTAGGAATTTTCATTCGGGATGTAGTTTTGAGTGGCAAGAGGAATTGCTTGTTTCCATTCAGAAAACCAAGTCTTGATATTAACCTTAGAGGAGGACGAAGAATCCTCTTCCGAGATCAACGGGATAAGATAACGATCCAAGACGAGCTGGATCTCCCTGAAAGCCTCCGAAAGATTGTTGCCAGATTGGATGAGATCCTCAGTCGCAAGCGCATGGTCGTCATCATCAGCATCACTTAGGGTGCACACGATTTCATCGACGATTCGAGAGATCGAGCCCGTAGAGGCCAGTAATGACTCGAGTTGGCTCGAACTCATCTCCGTGACCAATCCGAATGGTTCCTTCTGAGTCGTTGTTTTTGAGAGTTTATTAAGAAACAGTCGAGAGAGTTTGATGATCGGCACAGCCGATTTGGCGAGTTGAATGACATGTTCGCTCGGACGAGAGTCGTTTGCCCCAAAGCTCATATCGTCATCATCATCGTCGTCGTCGTGATCGTGGTCGCCGTCTTCATCTGAAGAGTTGGCCGCCGAATCACTTTCTCCTTCAGGACCAGTATGATTGATCAGCTTGGTTAATTCGTCCAGGGCATCATCTACCAAGCCGACTTCGGATTGCCATTGGTCTTGGAGAAGGCTGAACTCAGATCGGTCGAACCATTCGATCGTCGTATCGATCAAGTTCCATGATAAGGACGTAAGAGAAAGTACCTCGGCTCTTCCCCGAGGTTCGTTGCTTGACGAATATGTCAGGTTCTCTATGAACCTAACACATGTTTGAAATAGTTCGGACACCAACATGGCCAGATCGTTAACTTTGAGGCGAACTCGGACACATCTGAACGCTTTCAAATTCTTCAAGTGACTATCATTTGATACGAGTGACGGCCTAAGCACTGGAGCGATGGAGGCAACAGAAGCTTTGATTTGATCCAAGGTTTGCTCTAATTCGCCGAGTATTTCGAGAACTTGTTTGAGTTGCCCAGTCGCATTTTTTCGTAGATCGCATGGGTCTAGCGATAGTGAAAGGGCTGTAATCCGATGTCGCAAGGAAGGTAGAAGGCCCGATTGCAGCCGCTTCAGAAGTTCTGCTCTCAACTCGATTTGCTCAAACAGCCCAGGCAGGTTTTCCTCGTGAGACGATGAAAAGGGCTCGAGACAGATTAAAGGGCACTTGGCTATCAAACTTCTGAACGCCTGGACGACCAAACCTAAGACACAAATTGACGTGAGTTGGCTGCTAATGACAATTTTTATTTTCAAATCTGTTGCTGATCCATTGGAGACTTACACTTTTGTTTTTCCATGTCCTGGCCTTTCTCTGATGGTTGGAGGGACTTGAATGAGTTGGCCAAGCTGGCGATCGATGTTTCTTGAGGCACGACCATGGCGTTCGTTGGTGTTGAAAATTTTCCGAGCTTCCAATTTGGCAGAACGGAGATTCAGATTGCGGATGTCCCGCCCCGCACGGGGGGGGAGACGGGGGTATCGGGCGAACCATCAACGGTGTCTCAGATGAAAGTTGGGGGCTTTTTCCTTCTTAATCTATGTCACCACCTTTTTTCAATTCATCCAAAATTGCCATCCTAAAATCTACCTCGCATCACTCAGCAAACCCACCACTCTCCTACCCCTTCCCCAAATCCCCCTTTGCAATACAACGAGCACTAGCCCCGCTCTTCCCCTCCCCTCCCTTTCCACAACCTCTCACCTGCACACCCATCTCATAAACCCCATGCCACCCCTGCTCCCGCAGGGCGGTGATCCTACGACCAGCAACGACATGTCTGGTATGGACATGTATGTTACTGAAGGCGCTTTGCCTGTAGCCCAGAACAACTTAGCGGATAGGTTAACCAAATTGGTTGATACCTTAATCCCTAGGATGGAAAGCCTAGAGAGAGCCGTCTCCGGCCAAGCTACCAAACCAACTGGAGTGACCCGTGCGGACTCTTTCAACACCCTCCTAGTGAGGATTGAAGAGATAGCGGCCAATATGTCTAGACTGGAAAAGAAGGTGGAGGCTTTGTCCTCACCTCACTCTTCCAATATGATGGATCAGTCGGCCCCTAAACCAAACGGTTTGCCTCCCAAACCAGCCCCCCTTTATTCCGAGAAGGCAGCCGGGACCCCCAAATCCGGGTTGACCAAATCCTTACCCCAGGTTCCCCCCTCTTCGTACATCAACAGGTTTAAGCTAGGGCAGGTAGTGATCAGGAAGAAGTTCGATCAGCCAAAGCCCTTTGAAGGCCTAACAGCGGCATCCATTTGCCAGAAAATCAACGACGCACTTGATTTTGCAAAAGCTACGATCGACAATGAAATCATCAAGGTAAAAGCGGTAGCGCAATTCCCAAATGGAGATGTAAAAATCTTTACTAAAGATCGAAGAGCAGCTAAATGGCTACTTGACAATAAGCATCTATGGACCGAGAAAGCTGACCCTGTTTTTAAAACATCCCAAGTGGCTCACCCTGTTCTCCTCCACTCCTGCCCCACCAGTTTTGAAGTTGATAACAAGGAGCATGTAGAGCTGCTCTGCAAACAAAATGATATCGAGCCGAAAGAGATCCAAAAGATCCGCTGGCTTCTCAATCCCAAAGGAACAGGCAAGGCCTCAAGCACCCTCCTGATTTATTTCTTGAACAGACGACTGGCCCTTGACATCGAAAGAGCCGGACTTTGTTACAACAGCTTACACCTCAAAGGACAACACTATCTACAAGGTCCCAAGCAGTGCTACAATTGCTTAGCGGTAGGTCACTTAGCTCACTCCTGTAAGGAGAAACCACTGTGCTCCCGTTGTGGAGCGGAACACAACTCAGCTTCCTGCGAGGAAATGGAAGATTCCTGCAGGAGCTGCCAACGCTGCCTCCAAGTAGACCGAAAGTCTTCCTCTGTCATTGACCTCTCTAACCCGAAATATGATCACTCCCCCTTCAGCAACGCTTGCCCGACCAGAACCAAAGAAATTGAAAAATTCTGCAGAAGCAAGACATTGCTATTATTCCTGGCAACTTGCCTTCAAACAGAAAGTGGAAGAGTTAAAGCTGCTCCACTGGCGCAGGTTTCTGGCCAGGACCGGAGATGCATCAGCATTCCAAGCATACAAATTTACCAAAGCAAAGCAGTCTGCTACGGTCGAACCACTTTATAGACCTGATAAGACATTATGTACAGATGTAGCAGAACAGGCGGAATTACTGTTCAACGGCACATCTGTTATTAATTCAGTCTACGACCTTTCAGACATCCCTATCCAAGAACCAGATGACCCACATAGAAGCTTTCCCCCCATCACACTCGCTGAAATAAACCGCTGTAAGACTCAAAAAGTGGTTGTAAGACCCTTTGTGCTGAATGGAGAAGGGGATGGTGGAGGTGCAAGCTCTGCCCTTCTATACTATCAGATAACAAGACCCACCAAGCTCAGCTTGGCAAGTTTTAATCAAGTGATAGGGTAAGTTCAGGAATGAGTTTGTGTGATGCTGAGAAATGAGTTTAGTTGTTATTGGTGTTTGGTAAGGTTATGTAAAGGTGGTATCTCTTTGATTGAGTGGTACTAAACTGTGACTTGTGAATAATACACTGAGGAGACAACAACTGGGAGGAGAGCCTCCTTATATATACAACAGTGAGGGAATTTAGCTCCAGGGCAGCCAGTAATGAGTGATTTTGGCTGGCCTGGGCTATTACATGAGTGATTTTAGCTACATACAAAATTTGAATGAGTGAATGTGATTGGTCAGACATGTACAAGAGTTGAAGTGGTGAGCCAAACAGCTGAAAGAGTGATTCTGATTGGTCAGGTTCTGATGTGTTTACAAGTGAGTGTGGTGATGTAAGCTGCAGCTGTCATGCATGGAAAATACACTAATTTAGGCTGCAGGTATGATGTAATATGTAGTAGTGAAATGTAAAGAGTGTAGATGTATGTAAATGAGTGTATATGTAAATGAGTGTGTACTGTACTGAGGGTGTCTGTGTAGCTTGAGGGTTGTAATTGAGTTTGGTGATATGTACTGATGGGTGAAATCCTTGTGATATGTTGTCCAGTGTTGGGTAAGAGTTGATCCACGTGTGTTCCAGTGACGCCTCCGTGGTGACCAAGGGTGAATTTGTCCGTAGAGTCCATTTCTTGAGCCGTATGGTGTGAATTCTGAGAGTGATTGGGTGATAATATAAAGAAATATATATATATAAAAAGAAAAGGAAAAAAACTTTGAATTTTCACATTTTTGACTACCACAGCCTCCCCCAACTTATTGGCTGTCCCCAGACAATTTATCAGGAAAAAGTGGGAAGAAAAATAGAGAAAGAGTTAATTTTTAAACATTAAATGAAGTGAAAAGTGTAGTGGGTATTTGGAGGAAAAAGATAGGAAAAAAATGAGTGGGGTTTAAAAAAAGAATGTGATAACCTCCCCCAACTTTTTGGTGAAGCCCAGCTGGGGTGGCTGTTTTTGCAATTTTGACCCGTAAACTTAATTTTTTACAGCTTATTTGACAGGTTTCCCCTGCAATTGTTAGCCTCAGGGTCCCTGTGTACCCCCCCTTCTGCCCAAAGTGCAGAGGTCACAGGTGGAGGGGCATTTTTATTTATTTATTTTTATTTTATTTTATTTTTTTTACATACAGATTTTGAATTTGCTGCGCGCTGTGCGCAGCTACGCAGCAGTTGGACGTTCAAATGACCTTGGTTTTGACATGGAGGAGCTGTGGCTGCTGGGTTTTAACTGGAAAAGCCCCTTGGGAGGGGCCCAAGGGGTTGTCTGACCGTTCGGGGGTCGAGTTTGCTTCGGAGGACGCGCGAGGTGAGAGAAGGCTGCGGCCGCAGCCGAGAGCGCTGAGCCACCGGTTCTCTGTTCCGTATGCGCTGTTCTGGTCCGGTGTTTGACTTTCCTAGAAGCATTCAGTCAGCCGATGCCGATTTCGATTCCGGTCAACACCAACGACAGCCGACGACATCCTCGACCGACTCCGCCTTCCGAGTTCTTCTAGCATCATCGATCGGATTTTCCGTGAGTTTATTGACAGGTGAGCTGTTTCTTTCTCCTCAATTCTTCTATTTACATTGTCAAGGTAGGAGCTGGTGACTCCTGACTTCTTATTGGTCAGGACACATCGGTTCGCGTCGTCTGTCTTCCATCGGTCGAATGGAGCAAGCTGATTGGCTAGGATTCGCCCACGGCGGGGCTTAGCGCGTCGCGGTGTTCTTGTCGAGAGTCAGGTGAGCTTCTGTTTTCTTCTTTCACCCCTCGGCTTTTGCTGTGTAACTTCTTGATTATAAAAGAAAGCCTTGCCAGTGATTCTCAACTCTCCAGCATGCTGACTGTACTATCTTTTGAATCCAATCTTTCGTGTGTAGGAACCGTTTTGTCATCGATTGCAGTCAACAAGCCGCGACCCAACTTTTCCCATTAATCCAGAATGTAGGTCTTAGTAGTATCAATCTCGCCTCAAGAGAATCCACTCCGGTTCAGGCCTCCCGAATCGAATCACAGGTAAGCTTTTCATCACACGAGTTGAGCTCCATCTCATAGCCACCGATTGGAGTTGAATCATGACCTCTATTGTCTCTGTATTCAACTTGTGATTGATTGGAAAGCCGCCAACGCACGATGCAGTGTAGCGCGTCGCAGGGTCGTCTGCGAGGGTTTTGTGAGTTTCGTTTTCTTATTTCTCCTCGGTTTGTACTGTGTAGTGTTTCGGCTATAAAAGAGAGGGGTCTGTGCAAGGTTAAGGAGTGCTGTGGCCGTAGTTGAGAGCGCTACGCTGTTGGTGCATCGTTCCGTGATTGCTGCTCCGGTCCGGATTCTGCTCACTAGACCCATCAGCCGGTGCCGATTTCGATTCCAATCAATACCGATGACAGGCAACATTGATTGACCAGATACTAGCTCGACATCGCCTCCAGATTGACTACGATCAAGTTTGACGGTTTTCCAAGGTCTTTGTTGAGTGTTTCCTGTGGTTTGTTTGAGAGAAGATTGAAAAGAAATGAATACAAACAAAAAAAAAATGATTTTTTTTTTTTTTTTGATGTTATCAACTATGTGAATGCAAGAGCCCCTCCCCCAACTTTACAGGTTGTCCTCAACCTCTAAGTGAGTGATGCTGGTGAATTGAGTGGATAAGTGAGGTGAGAGAATTGAAAGATATTGTGAAAAAGAGAAATAAAGAAGGGATGTGAAGATTGAAGGAGTCTCTGGGGTAAGAAATGAAGATTATCAAGATGGGGTGATGGGAATGAAGGTAAGAAAGGAGGGAAAAGGAGAAAGAAAAGAAATAGGAAGACAGCTAGATGGTTGATATAAGGGGTGAAGTTGTTGGATAAAAAAAAGAATTGAGCTGAAGGAGGATGGTGGTACCGAGTGAAGTATGTAAAAACGTGATTCCCCCCCAACTTAAAAGAAATAATTCTGTCTGATGTTGAAGAAAGATAAACTAATATTTTGTGCTTTGATTTTTGTGTTGTGAACAGTTTAGTCTCATGCCCAGGAGGAGACCAACTTTTAATTTAAACAGAGAAGAATAGGGTTATGTATTTAAAAGAAGGGAGGAAGGATTAAAAAAAGTGAAATCTTGATGTGTTGAGTCCAAGGTCCATATTTCTTGATGATTCATTTTCTTTCCGTCCAAATCTTGAGTTTTTCAAATCCAAAATTTCTTGAGAATTCTTCTTTCCATCTGAGTACCGTCTTGTTGAGTGTGACTGAGTTTTGTTGACTAGGTGATTATGTTGATTTCCTCTGCGTAGATATTTACTACCCTCTGACTCGTGCCAGGGCTAAAACTATTCTAAATATTCTCTGACGCGTGCCAGGGCTAAAAGTATTCTGTTATTCAAACAATATAATCAATTCTTCTTTGTTAAAGTAAATCCTCTCAAGCCTACGAGACGCTGATATTCCCACTGTGGAATCTTTCTTCAGATGTCCGGTCTTTGAGAAAAGTCTTCTTAAATATGATAATAAATATTATTCAGGTGAAATCGGTGTCACTAGTAATCAAAAATCGCCAGATTCCGTCCAAAGGTAGCTCAAATCGTCCAAATGGTTTTCAAGATCTTGAGAAATTCAAAGTCGCCAATTTTTGTTTTTAGTTGAAAATTTGCCATGTAAGTTATATTTCATTTGAATCCCAGAGATCTTGATCTTGAAGCCGTAAATCCTAAAAAGTTCCAACAATAATGTCTTTTTTTTTTATTTGTTAGTGTGTACAAATGAATGTTGTTTTCAAAAGAGTGAAAATTTATGCAGTTTATCCTCATGCCTAGGAGGTGGCCCAAAAATTTTTTTTTATGAGGTTTTTAAGGTGTAAAAAAATTTAAACAGGGAAGTATAAGGTTCTGTGAATGAAGGAAGGGGGAAGGTTGAAAGAGAGGATGATAAAAGAGTGTGAGTTCCTCCCCCAACTTTAAAAAATATTCTGATGCTGCATTCTTGAAGGCTGATATACTCTTCTTGAATTTGACAGAAACTTGTGAAAAGGAATTTATTTGAATTTTAACCAACTCCAACCGGTAGCCTTGAGCGCTTGATGTTTCCATAATTATTTTGACAAGGGTCTGGGGGAATTGATATGGGTAAATGAGGAAGGATCTTCTGGAGTAAATAAAATAGAAGAAATAATTCCCTTGGTAATTCAGATTGAGAAAGATTGTTGATTGATAATTCTAATGATTGTTTAGTTTTCTGGTGCTCTTCCTTCTGTGGACTAAGAAATGTTTTTGAAAAATCTGGTGGATCCGGCGGTGTCAGAATTGAAAAGACTTCTTCAGGAATTGGTGTGGTTGAAAGCATTAACATAACTGGTTGACTGGGAATAGTTGAGATTGTTGTTTTGAAATTTTCAGATGCTAATGAGACGTGAGTACTATTATGTATTCCCTTTATTTCTTCAGGTTCCGTATCCTTGAGCGTCAGGTGTTGAGAAGTGTTGTTATTGATCCAGAAAATTCTAAACAGGTCCAAGTAAGGCTTAAATAGTTGCTTGTTGAAGATCTCAATTTCCAAATATTTGTAGATATTGTGAATCCAAATTTTACTGGGGATTGTAGGGAATTTGTGGGATTTTGTAGAGGTGTCTGTAAGTAGTAAAGTTTGAATCTGTAAAGGATTATTGTTGGACTGCGGGGACTGATCCAATAATTTTTCCAGTTGTTTAGATTGATCCCCACTGTCCTTGGTATCCAATTTGTCTAGAGGTATTTCTTGAATTTCAATTACTGTATGCACAAGTTCCATTGGTGTATTCATTATGTTTGTTGATTCCACTTTCCATTCTCCCAGATCCAGTAGGTTGATAGGTGCAACTGATTCTCCCCTCTCTGTTTCTGTCATGAGTTTTGAAGGTAGGGAAACGTCCATCACCAGTTCTGTATAATCCGTCTCTAGTTCCGTATAATCCGTCGCTAGTTCCGTATAATCCGTTGCTAGTTCCGTATAATCCGTTGCTAGTTCCATATAATCCGTTGCTAGTTCCGTATAATCCGTTGCTAGTTCCGTATGATCCGTTGCTAGTTCCGTATGATCCGTCACTGGCTCCAATTGGGACAAAGAATGCGGAGTGTTGCATATGACAGGTGATTGTATATCTTGAATTTGTTGTTTGAGTGACTCAATTTCCTTGGCTAATTCTTCCAACTTGATCTCCATTCCAGCCGCCTCCGTAAGGTGTTCCCAAAGAGGGGGTAACCTGGATCCATCGGGTGCCTGTGGAAGTTGACCGTTGTGATTTAAATGCTGTTTGATATTTCTCTGGAGCTCTTGAGGAAAGGCACTGATGAAAGGAATTACGGCATCTTGTCTACTTCTCAACTGTCTTGTTTTGTTATCTCTAGAAAATTCTTTGGACAGGTTGACTAGGTCGGATGTTGTATATAGGATTGTATATTTGTCACCCCATAATTCAATCATTGAGGCCCGTAGAGTATCCCAGTCACATTCCTCGTATCCGTCCATCAACTCAATTTGATCTTTGAGTTCTTCAGTTTTCATAAATCGTCCAATCTGTAGGGCTTGATCGTATTTGGATGCATTAAGTGAGTCTGCTGTCATCTCGTATTGCCTCAAGAATTGCGTGAAGTGGTGTCCATTGTAAAAGAGTCCAGGTTGCTCAATGAAAACTGGTTTGTTTTGATTATTTGGTTGTTGATATGTTGGTGGTTGTTGTTTTGATTGTTGATGATTTGGTTCATCCATATCTAGGGTCTTAAAGATTCCAGTTCTGAATATAGGTGGCACTGGTATAGTCAGATTTCCCTGCTTCTCGTTCTTCATCCAAGGTGGTGATAGTGTTGATGAGGAGATCGTAGTTTCTGTATTCCGGTTTAAATTTGAAGTTGGCGTAAAAGGTCGTTTCCTATAATTGGTTCGTGGAGCAAATAAATTTTCCATATCTGATACACCAAACAGTAGATCCATGTTGATTGTGATGATTTTTCTAGTTTGACTGAATATAATAATTCTCGGATAACTAACTAACTTTTGCTCTGAAAAAGAAACAAATAATACTATGGTCTCTGGTCTCTTTACCAGGGCAAATTGGTTTTCTTCTAATAATAATAAAATCACTTAACAATACGGGGAAATTCTCTTCAAACTGTATCTCAATTATCCGGATCCTTCGGGTCCTAAACCTTCTTCCAGTATATAATTGGCCGCCTTCTTCAAGTAAATTTCAGAGTTGTCTTCAAACTGTATCTCAATTATCCGGATCCTTCGGGTCCTAAACCTTCTTCCAGTATATAATTGGCCGCCTTCTTCGAGTCCTCTTTTTCAAGTATGGTGGGTGTACGTTCTTTTTTCAGGGTTTAGTAGTTGTTTCGTTAAATTGATTTTATGAAGCTGACTAGTCAATCTACAGAATAACTGAATATGCCGTTTACGTGTCGCAAATATGGTTGATAAATTTGATCCGGTTCCCGCTAAAGTTCGTGATCCTTTGGCAATTCCTTCTCGTTATATGTTGAAATTTGATTACTTGATGTAGATCACACAAGTTTATCCTATCACGTTTGGGACTCCCTTGTAAGACTCAAAAAGTGGTTGTAAGACCCTTTGTGCTGAATGGAGAAGGGGATGGTGGAGGTGCAAGCTCTGCCCTTCTATACTATCAGATAACAAGACCCACCAAGCTCAGCTTGGCAAGTTTTAATCAAGTGATAGGGTAAGTTCAGGAATGAGTTTGTGTGATGCTGAGAAATGAGTTTAGTTGTTATTGGTGTTTGGTAAGGTTATGTAAAGGTGGTATCTCTTTGATTGAGTGGTACTAAACTGTGACTTGTGAATAATACACTGAGGAGACAACAACTGGGAGGAGAGCCTCCTTATATATACAACAGTGAGGGAATTTAGCTCCAGGGCAGCCAGTAATGAGTGATTTTGGCTGGCCTGGGCTATTACATGAGTGATTTTAGCTACATACAAAATTTGAATGAGTGAATGTGATTGGTCAGACATGTACAAGAGTTGAAGTGGTGAGCCAAACAGCTGAAAGAGTGATTCTGATTGGTCAGGTTCTGATGTGTTTACAAGTGAGTGTGGTGATGTAAGCTGCAGCTGTCATGCATGGAAAATACACTAATTTAGGCTGCAGGTATGATGTAATATGTAGTAGTGAAATGTAAAGAGTGTAGATGTATGTAAATGAGTGTATATGTAAATGAGTGTGTACTGTACTGAGGGTGTCTGTGTAGCTTGAGGGTTGTAATTGAGTTTGGTGATATGTACTGATGGTGAAATCATGTGATATGTGTCCAGTGTAGGTAAGAAGTTGATCCCACGGTGTGTTCCAGTGACGCCTCCGTGTGACCAAGGGTGAATTTGTCCGTAGAGTCCATTTCTTGAGCCCGTATGGTGTGAATTCTGAGAGTGATTGGGGTGATAATATAAAGAAATATATATATATAAAAAGAAAAGGAAAAAAACTTTGAATTTTCACATTTTTGACTACCACACCGCGCAATTGACTCTCTACCCACAAAGAAAGCAGTGGGACCCGACAACATCCCCAATGAACTGCTCCAGATGGGCAAGCCCCATATTTCCCCCTTCCTCACCCCCCTCTTTAACGCTTGCCTGAGGCAAGGTTTCTTCCCCAATGGATGGCGTACAGCCACAACGGCCATCATTAGAAAAGCAGGAAAACCTGACTACAGTGACCCCAACGCCTACCGTCCCATTTCACTTCTGTGCACCCTGGGCAAGCTCTTTGAAAAGATTCTTAACGAACGCTTGATTCACTGGATCGAGTCCAAAGAGGTCCTTCCCCAAGGTCACATGGGCGGCAGGAGAGGCCGAAATCTCACTGATGCCCTTGTTGTGTTCACCTCATGGGTGAAACACCAATGGAGGAAAGGAAAAATTGTAGCTGGTATTTTCCTGGACGTGAAGTCCGCTTACCCCTCGGTATACAAGACTTGTCTTGTTGATCGACTACACCAACTATCCTGCCCCGCCTACCTTATCCCAGTTATCTCCTCTTTCCTGACCAATAGGTCCACCTCCATTCGGATGGGTGATTATGTATCTTCTCCCTTCCCAGTTAAAGAGGGCCTCCCACAAGGCTCCCCCCTCTCCGTCACGCTCTACATCCTATACAACAGCGGCCTCCTTCTTAATAGCAGATGCTCATTAGAAGAGACCAAAATTTCCTTAGGTTATGTTGACGACATCGTACATCTGGTAGCTGCTGATTCGCTGGAGCGAACGGTGAACATGCTACAGGAGGAAGCCTCCCGATCCCTTGAATGGGGCCGAAAGTTTGGCGCAATTTTTGATCCAAAAAAAGCGGTACTAATGATTTTCTCTTGCAAATCCTTAGCCCCCCCTTCCTTTGACTTTGACGGACACACCCACACTTTCCAAAAAACAACCAGATGGCTGGGTATCATCCTTGATCAACGGCTCACCTTTTCGGAACACCTCAAAAAAGTCAAATCGACGGGCGACCTCACCATCTCACAGCTTGAACGAATCGTCAAATCAACCTACGGCCTGAACACGGGCCTAGCAAGAAGACTGGTGATTTCAGTCCTATATTCAAGGATACTGTTTGGCAGTATCATCTGGTATAACAAAAAAAACGCCACAGACGGCGGCACAGGTTCTGGAAAGCCTGTACCACCGGGCCGGCCGACTGATTACAGGCTTGTTCAGGCAGACTCCCCTGCCCTTTGTTAAGAAAAAGCAGTGGACTGAAGTCCCCGCTTGAGATTCACCTCCGTAACTCCCACTTCTACATTCTTCGCGCGCTGACATATCCACCCTCCCACCCAGTACTCCCTATACTACATAGAGAACTAACTGAAACTACACCCTCTTGTCCAAGTCCCGTACACCTGTTACTGACACCAAGCAGCCCGCACAATTTCCCGGTACTCCAGTCAGAAACGATCTACCCAATGCCGGCTCCGCCATGGGTCGAACCAGTAGCGGAGATCCAAAACATTACGGACAAACGAGAAGATGTTATCCTGCGCATCCCTAGGCAAATTCAACAAGAAATCAGGAACCAAACCTTGGTCATCTTCACGGACGGCTCTTGGATTCCCGAGGAAGGCGCGGGGGCGGCGGCAGTAATTCACCCCTCAGGGTCAAGTTTGGCAGCTCACATCAATCCAGCCAAATATATTTCGAATTTTGAGGCAGAGTTGATAGGTATCCGATTAGCGATCACACTGGCGTAGGAAACGCTTGCAGCCGATCACTCACAAGAGATAAAAGCCGTTGCAATCTTCTGTGACAACCAAGGAGCCTTGTTGCTCTCTGCTGACCCGATGTCTTTATCCCCGGGACAACACCTCTACACTGATAATTTCTTTTGTTTGAAACTCCTAGGTTGCCCAGTCAGGCTCTACTGGTGTCCTGGCCACGAGAATATAGCCGCTAATGAAAAAGCGGATACCCTTGCTAAAGAAGCAGCCATGGACGACTCACCCCCGGGCAGTGCAGCCTCCTTCCCACTTTCTGTGGATATGAGCCTGGCTAAGTTAAAACAAATCTATCGGGACCTACTGAAACCTCCCAAAGAGTGGACCAAAGATGACTCGCGTCGTTTTCCTTTCTCCAAGGACTGTAATAAACTAGTACAGGCTTTAGACAAACAGGAAAAAGGCTTAGCAGCGACAATCTTCCAACTCAGGGCTGACCATGCCCCACTGAATAACTTTTTATTTAAAATCAAAACAATATTGGATCCGCGATGTACTAATTGCTCTGCCCAAGAAAATGCGGCACACTTCCTAATGTTTTGTAGCAGGTACAGAAAAGCGAGGGCGACTCTCAAAAAGAAACTTCGACGGTCGAAGTGTGGGGCAAACCCCGACTCTTTCCGGTCAATCATGGATAACCCAAAAGCGATGCCGGAGGTAGCGGAGTACATCCTAGCAACCAACAGGTTTCCAAACATCCAGCAATACATCTCAACAGCGGTTAAATCCTAACTTTCCCCCCACCTTCTGTAGTCTTCATTCACTGTTTTCTTCTCATTTCTTCCATCTCATTCTCAGTTTTCATCCATTAAATCTCAAACATCTTGTATGTACTAGCGACGGACTAGGGAGCTTAGCCCGGAATCCTTGAAGACCATTGGACCTCGGCTTATTGGGGGATAATCCGAGGATCCCTTCTCAGTAGCAGCGATTGGTTGTGGGGGCCTAGACGCGCACTGTACACTTCAATCTTCTGGTGGGATGGGAAGAAGGTCCAGTCCTCCCGAAATCCTTAGCTTTCCAACTTCCCCATCCATTTTCTTTTCTTTGGTTTTTTTCCGCTTTTCCCTTTC